TTTTTTGAAAACCTGATTTTATTATTTTTCTTAGCAGCATTGTAACTGTCACAATCGTTCTCGCTAACAGCGTCACGGTGAAGCGCTCCAACAAGGAACGAACCATTTCAAGCAGATCCAAGGGGGTTCAGGGCAAATATGGATGATTGTTTTTTGACCTCGAAGTGGGAACATAAATTTTTTACTGCTAAAAACAATCTTTAAAAAACACAACATGATTAAATTTGTAATTGACATGGCCCCCTTTTTTTAATTTCTATGAACAAAAAATAAAAACAAAAACAAATTGCGGTGGCCCCCCTGTTGGTCAGGGCCCATAGAATTGTCATCACTTTTCTACCCTCAATCTTAAACCAAAGTTTGTTCAATATTTAAACATTTTCTCAGCATCACAATCTTCTCTTGATGAACAAATGTGTCACAGGTTTATTTATTTATTTATTTATTTATTTATTTATTTATTTATTTTTGCAACAGATTAAGCATAAATTATGACAAGGTCTGAAGCATTCCTAGTGATTCTTGCCATCTCTAGCACAACCTCTGATATGCATACATCATATGTACATTATATATATTTATGTATCTATACATTTAACAAAAATATAAATGCCTCATGTCAAATACAAGAGTTTTATGAACATTTGGGTCACGCAATATATAGAGAAACTCAAACTATATTTTCAGTAATTACTGATCTTCATATCGGTACTGATAACATTGTGGTTTGGCCATTTGTAGCTGATTGACAGTCCTTTGAACATGAAGGGGTCAGGCTGAGGAATTTGATCTTGACCAAGTTGGTTTCTCCTAGGCGGTTATGGACAGTCTGAGGTGTGATGTTCTGTTGTGCAGACCAACAGTCTATCAGCTGTGTGTGTCGCTGGTCAAAGCCGATCCCACAGATGAACAAGTCATATGTGGCGATCTGGTGCTGGAGTGGCCGACGAGGATGAGGTCAACTTGCAGTAGCGCCAGTCTGTTGGAAACTCTTAAATGGCCTATGGTCCAATAATGGACATCGAGTCATGCAGCTACTGCTCTGGTGGACATCCCTGTATCCAACATGCCAATGGCACGATCCCTTTTAACCTGAGACATCTGAGGAAAAATGACTTGTGACAGAATTTAACATATTGGGGTGGCCTTTTATTGACCCCAGTCCAAGGATTGTCCCGTTGTTGTTAATTTTGTCTTATGGATGAGGCACTGGGCATGCCTCATCCATGCACTCAGTAATAAAAACCACTCAGTAATTGTGATAATTGAATAATTGTCACTGACAGGAAGTTGGATTAAAAATTATACACAAATCAAGAGAAATATTACTTTTGTACAATAAAATGTCATCAAAAGCTCATTTGTTAACTCCACATGGTAACAATATTTGACATGGGGCGTTTATATTTTTGTTCAGTAAATATAGATATAGGAATAAATTGCTGTATATAAAATTATTTTAACAAGTCTAACGATGAATAAAACATTCACATTTGATCGAAGGTGGTTTTCTATCTTGCCTGTGTTGATTATTTCCTCCATGTTGTTCTTCAGATCCTCATCCAGCAGCGTCTCTCTCAGTGAGTCCTGACAGAGAGCAACACTTCACCTCTGAGTCTGTGACTCTGAACTGTGGAGGAAACTCTGCTGAGTGGAGAGTGATGGAGTTTAGAGAAAACTATGATGGGTTGATAAGTTATTGGAATGAATATGATGAAATAATCTCTGGTCACCAGTTATCAGATTGCTCCAACTCATGGGAAATGACTGGATCCTCATGTACCATTAACAGTGACCGATCCTTTAAAGCAGTGTACTGGTGTGAGTCTGGATCAGGAGAGTTCAGCAATGCAGTCAACATCAATATATATGGTATGTTAATATACATGTTATTTCATTAATCACATGAGTTTTGCAGTTTATCACAATCTGAATTTAAACAGACCAGTTTTCTTTTTGTGCACATTTAATGTAAATTAGTTCTTATAAAAAGCTTCAGTCATCCATCAGAATCAGGCGGGTCAAAATTTCAGATTCAAAATGACATTTTTTGTGCATTTTTGTTCTGCTCCATAAAGTCTTCGTTGCTGTTTCAGCAGCTACTACACATGTCAACGTAGAGTTACTGTGTAGCTTATTAAAATTTATGTAAAACTGTGTTTTCACAAATACCCCTTATTTTAGTGCTTAAACAAAGGTGGACAAGTTAAAATGTAAAACATCTATGATAGAAATAACATGTTCTGTTTATTCTATATAGCCTGTTCTACAGTAATTGTCTCCAGCAGCTGATTTCTGACTAAAGCTTCATTTTCTGTCTGGTTTCCAGATGAAGATCTTCTCCTGGTGAGCCCCGTCCATCCTGTGACTGAAGGAGCTTCTGTTACTCTGAGCTGCAGACTGAGAGGAGAAAACAAACTTTCTGATGTGATTTTCTATCATAATGACAAACTGATCCAAAATGACGGCAGAGGAGAGCTGAAGATCTCTGCAGTGTCTCAGTCAGATGAAGGTTTCTACAAGTGTGAACATTCAGGAGAAGTTTCAACTCAGAGCTGGATGGGAGTTAAAGGTGGAGACTTTAATACATTTATCTTATGCAATGATTGTTTTTGTGTTTGTGTCAGGGACCAAACGGTACAGAATGGAGAACACAGGTGTTGAATTAAAAAAGTGATTTTTTTATTTAGCCCCATAATATAAAAAATGATTAACATAACAGCAATTAGACATGCATGCCAATAAGAGAGGTTGACTCAAATGATTAAACTCAAAGATATAACTGACAAAACCCTCAAACTGACATGAGACAAACTAACTGACCTCCTAAATTACGCATTAGGTCACTAAAATACTGGTTTAGCTAAACCACATGGACACAATATGGGAAAACAAAATGGCTGCCACATGACAATTAACACAAAACAATGAAATGAATCCCAAAACACCCCCACCCAGCTCGAAGCATGTGGATCAGTCCAGTGAGGCCATCAGCTGTTCTTCAGGAAGCTCAGTCCTCTGCCAGGCCTTTTGCCCTCCAGGCAGGAGGAGTTTGAGGTAACTCCAAGAAATTAGTATTAATATGACATAAAACTGAATTTTGATCTTGCAGTGTCAATATATGTGTACTCCATATAAACATTGTAAGGTGTTATAGAATAATAAAGAAATATTATATAATAAGGAATATTTAAGGTAATAACCACAAAGTAAATTAAAGTGAAATCAAATTATGATGAGGTGTGGACCTTACCCTGCGCGGCTCGCCATCACAGTTTGTTCATTTATTTGTTCTGTGTGCTATAATAGTCACAGGTAACAATCTTTATTGATCTCTAAACACAGCTCCGTCCGGACCTGGAAGCTCGTCTTCCCCCGTCATTGGATCAGTGATTGGATTCATCGTTCTCATTCTCCTGCTGCTGCTGCTCTATTACTTCATAAAGTCAAAATGTGAGGGCGTCTCCTTCTGACTCGGCCATATTTCTACCAGAGCACATCAACGTCATAAACATGCAAAAACAATTTTCATCAAAAATATTTTTAAATCTTCTTTTGTGATCAAGGTGGTGATTCACAGCAGCCAGTCGGTCAGGACCAGGCTTTACCTCTGCAGTGAGTTCACTCCTCCCTCCTACAAAGGTGATGTTTGCAGAAATTCGTCCTGCTACTCTCCAGTGGGTTCGGTCGTGAACGCATAAGCAGTTTATTGAATGAAGTTCTCAGAGTGTGGTTGATGGCCAAAGCATTTTTTTTGCAGATAACAAATCGGACTAAACTGTTATTTCTTTCGGAAACTTTTTGTCTAAATTTGACAAGATAATTTGGAAACAAGAAAAGAAAAATACAACTTCAAAAGACACAAACTCTAAAATTTCACCCAGAGATTTATACTACACAAAGTCTCTATGATAGAGCCCTTACACATGGGAAAAATTTAGGAATTTTTAATTTTGATTTGGCAACTTGCACATTTTCTAACTGTTTTATTATATTTTGTCAGTGTACAAACTTGCTTTGGTTACTTATTCCAAGTTGAAGCTAAATGAACCTGCTATATGTTCCTTTTTAACTCTGCTTTAGCTGTGTAATGTCTTTTTCTTTTTGGTCCAGGGAGAGAAGTTCATCATCACCATGACAAGAAAACCCCAGATGGATCTCCATAGTAACCATGAGACCAAATCTGGTGCATTATTTGAGGTTCACCTGTAAAATCTCTTTTAGTCGTGTACAGACAAAGATTACTTTTTTTTTTTTTTTTTTTACATTTTATCATTTGATTTGCATTGAACCAATTCATACATATTATGGTATAGGGATGAATTCTGGATGGTGTTTTCTGTAATTTCATGCTATCTTTCCTTTAATCTGCTGCAAATTCATCAGCTGCATTTCCATAAACCATGAATTTGAATTACAAAAATAAATTTGATAACAGAAACACAATTTCCAAAGAGAACTTTTTCGATGAAAGATTTTGTGCAAAGAAATTGATGTTTTTCCCAAAACCAAAGCCCTGCCCTGCTCCGCTCCCGTCAGTCACACAGCCTGGATGATTTCAGCTTGACTCACTCTGCGGTCACAACATGCGACAAAGTGGAGCCGGAAGATGTTAAACGAAAAGCTAAAAACAATTACAACTGCTATTTCAAATTATGGTCTGTAGACAAAAGCAGTAAAATCTGAATTAAAATAATATTTAGGGTTTGTTTTGGGCTCGAGACTCTAATGAAAAATAATTAGTTAGATCAGATCAGGCTTGGAAACAATGTCTGCGGCCTAGAAAACTCGACCCGACCCAACCTGGTCGGGTCGGGTTTTCTAGGCCTCTACTTCCTGGTTGGATTTTTTTGCCGATCTTGTGGTTTCCCATGTTTTTAGTGAAAACATATCTCAGTCAAACTATTCATCTTTTATCAGTGTTCAAGAATTACTGACTTAAAACAAGCTCCTCTCTCTTCAGGAAAAGTTACTCCTGAGTTAGTTGTGGCTCATTTAAAGTGTTAAGATATTTGCTCTGGAAACTGAATAAATATACTTGGTAAGATTTTCTTTTTTGTCTGCAGTGCCATTTTTTTGTTGCTCATCTGTTTGGCTGCTGTTTTGGTTTGCTATCTTGGATCATCATCTTCTAATTTAGTTTTTGAGTTTCCTTTTATATTTTTTTAAAGTAAAATTGTTGATTGTTTTCCTTTTTTTTATTTTTTATCATGTACCTGCCTCCCATTTGGGTCTTGCTCTGCACTGTTGTATGTCTGATTTGCTTTCATGTAATAAAAGATGTTCTGATTTTTATAGTGACTCCGTTTCCGTATTGTTTGGTTCTTTGGTTGCATGTGTAACACGAACCAAGACAGTAGATTCACCACAGGTCAATCATAAGAACAGGAACACAGAGAGGTGAACTCGAGTGAAAACGTTTGCATCACATGACATCACAGGCCAATAAGATGAGTGCGTGCGCAAATGTCACTTCATTAGAAAGAGGAACTGAAGAATTTTCTAGTAAACTTTTAGATTATGACATTAAATTTTTGAAGACTAAAAAAAGCCCCAAACCCATTTTTTTGTATAAACTGATTGCTGCTCAAACAACATCTCTTCTTCCTTCCTCAGTGTTATTCTTAAACAGCAGGTTTTCCTGGAGGGAAAGAAAAAAAACAGGGAAGAAAAGCCTGATGTGGTTTTCACTTCCACACCAGGGAAAACCTCAGAACATTTAGTGTTTTCCTGTTTATCTTGTCATGGAGTCACCTTCATACAGAACCTGAAATAACCCTTATTTACATCTCATTTGACTTTTACCCCAAGTTCTTTTCTTTCTCTTTTTTTTTTTTTTTTTTTTTGTATAGGTAAATGTGATGGACTAAGTTAAAAACAGGAGTCACAGGAAATGTTGGAAAAATATTTTTTTATTTTATTTTAACCCAAAGATTTATAAATGACAAAAAGATAATCTGAGTTCATAAAAGAGGCCAAAGAAACAAAACTGAACTCAGACAAAAAAAAAAAAAAAAAAATGCCAACACACTGGCTGCACAAGCAAACATAACTGACCCAAATGACCCACAGGGGTTTATATGGCTGATCAGAACAATTTAGACACAGTAGGAGAAGCTAAACAGAATACAATTACTAACAAATAACAGTACAGCTACGTTTGGCTAAACTAAACACCCTAAAATGAAAATAAAAAAAATATTAAACTCTAAATACAAATATTTACTTAAATACAAAATATCTTTCTAAACAAAGAAACTACAAATCCCCCCTGCCAGCAGGAACTTGTGGTGCAGTCCAATCAGCATTTAAGCCTGCTGAGCCCTGAACCCCGTCTTTTGTCTGGCAGGTAAGTAACAGCAAGAAAACAAACAAGAGTTAATCTTAACACAAAATTAACTTTAAGTTGATATAAATACATGTGTTAACTAAATGTGCACGCTAACAAATAGAACAAATGTATCCAAATCAACTATTAAATGTTTTTTGTAGAAACTAAAGTGTGAAGAAATAAATTGTGCACAGAAAGAGTGTCCGACTTTAGAGTGTGTATCCTGGATGTCGTGTGAGCGTTCTGTTCAGCATTGATGTCAGTGTTTGAATATGAAAATACTAAAGATCTTTATCTGTCACGAAATCCAAGGACTTGTTTAGTTGTTGTGAAATGAAACCACTTTTAAGAATATTTTCAGGATGCAGCGATATGCCTGGCAGGTATTTGAAGGGGGAAAAAAGAACATCATTGGGATTTTTTTTTTTTTTTTTTCATTTTTAAGGGAATATTTTTTAGCCATGAGGATTAGACAATCCCTCCTGCTCAAATGAATAAACTAAACCACCTCAGATTAGGTCATCCTATTATTTCCCCTTAATGAGAGTCTTATGTAGATAATATATAATGAATAATACCTTAATAGATAGGATATATAGCTTCAATTTCTCAATTAGAATTTTGGTTTTCCACATATTTATGGGCCTTCATAAATATGTGGGAGTCATATCCATCAGTTTGTAGAGCAGCCCTGCTTCCTGAATCGTTTATTGGAAGTAAAATGCTAGTCTGGAACGGTAAGATAGCTGAAGATGCAGAGCTTTGTGTTTATGGCCTTATAAATATTTCATAGTGAGATAAACGGTCAGCAGTTCAGTCCTCCATGTTTGCTGAAACTGTATTAAACTAATTTGTATGTTTTCAGTTAAATGTAAAGGTAAAATCAACAGAACAGTTGTGCATCTAAACCGCATATTTTTGGGTGAGCTTTGACATGTCACATGATTCTGCTAATGCATTTCTTCATATGACCTGTTGATGAATTTGTTTGAGGGCTTTAGATGCAATGATGCATCCTGCTTCTTTTTGAATAAGGGTGAAATTTTTTCCAATATTTTACTGACATAATGCAAGTTTCTTATATTTTGTCCAGGGTTGTCAAAAACCATCCAGGAGGCTAAAATCTGGACGCCCAGGTCTAATGATAACTGGTTAGACGTTTTTATACACAGCAAATGTTCTACTTGATTTACTTAAAACAGATGAAATTAAACTTCTCAGTATCCTTTTTTTTCCTCCACTGATGTTCTCCTCCCGTCTCCATGGCTCCAGACATGTCACAGTCGTCCATCGGTTCACCTTTGGCCCAGTTCTTATATCTGACCACCTCGTTACTGACCCAGAACCAGAAATCCAGAGTGCAGGCATAACGCAGACCCATCCAGACATAATCAGTCGATGCCTCCTTGACTTTCTCCTGGATCCATCTCTGGTCATCCATGTTGGTGATGGTGACCAGGTCATCATGATGATCTCTGCAGTAGTACAAGGCGTCCTCCCAGGTTTTATTTTCTTTGATCAGGATCACTTTATCTGTCAGACATTCACAGCACAGAAAAAACAATTAATGTCTTATGTTTAAGGCTGTTATTTATAAATAAGAATAATGAAATACAGCATGGAAAAACTGAAATGTATCTGTGACTTGACAGAACATTTTGGAATTTGAAGTGTTTTGTACATTCATGACTTGATTTATATTTTCAATTTTTTCAAAATACAAATTTGAAAATGCATATTGTCAGATGAATAATTTAAACTGTCTTTTGCCACTGAGTACTAAATCTTTTATTGTGAGAATATGTATTAGGACAACTCACCATCATAACAGATGAAGGGTTTTCTTTCACCACAGTTCTCATTCTTCCATCTGCCTCCATCATCAAACACAGTCAAGGCACATTGACCACTG